TTTATCTTTTACCCTAAATTATTTGGTTGGAATTATAATTATACAATAAACACAATAATGACGGATTTTTCTAAGGGTAATTCTTGTAAAATTTTCAATGGAATCTCATTACACATAAATCATGTGATTATACCCGAAAATTTTTGGCCAAAGGAAAATTTTCTTCCGAAAACGCAAAAATTTTCTAGAAAATATGGCTTATCCTAATGCATATGAAGTGCCTTTCCCTCAGATAAATCCTCGAATCACTCAATCGTCTACTAACCCACCGTTTCCTACTCCTCAAAGAAGACCATCCTCTTCGCCCACACCAGGACGAGAAGAGAGCTTTCCCCACCTTCTACCCCTCAAAGAAGAAGCACTGGAAATTCTCCAGTGAGTTAAAAGAGTTTTGTTGGGTTTTTTTTTTTTGTTGTTGTTGAAACTTAAGATCAATAGTCATTATCCTTGAGGCTTCATAAGTCACATTCAAATAAACATTAAAGCGTTATTTTTCACATGTCGTTTGTCAAGTTTGGTCCTCCAAAGAATATTCACTTAATATCTTCTTTTTTTCCTTATTTAGATGAGTTCAATAGAGAGTAAAGTGACTCAACTCCTAATTACCACCAGATTATTGCTGGAGGGTTTGACTGGTTGGTCTTTGGGGCGTATGACTGAACAACAAGTTTCAGATATCTACGTGAAACTTACTAGTGAGCTAAATACGGTTATTCATATATTCGGACAGTCAAGGATTGATACGAGGTTAGGAGAAATTTTACTGAAGATGTTCCAATTTTCATCTTTGATATTTAAAAAATTTATAATTTAATTTCTTGATAGCGATCTAGCAAGTATTCCACAGGATTTTAGGGGTTGTCTAGAAAATGCTTTAAGTGAGGAAGCTTCCCCATCTGCCTTGGAAGCTCATCTTCCTAAAATTAAAGATATTATAGTACATTTATTACAAGGATTAAAAGCAAAGCAAGCCATTCTTCGTCAATTACAGACCCAAGAACAAAATTCTATGCCAGTTTTATCAAACATGACAAGGTCTGTTTCAGTTAGATCAACAAATTCAACGAGTCCAAATGTGTCAGATGACAATCCACCATCTAACACTGTTAGAAGGAATGTTAGTTCACCTTCACGTATTAACGTAGGTGATAGTCTAAATTATTTGCCAGATCCTATGGATGCATTGAGACATAGCGACAACCTTGAACGACGTGCTTCTAGAAGATTATCGGCCTACACTATGCAAAGGGGTGGTGGTAATACAAGGTCAAGGTCAAATTTGCACAGTCATGATAACTTTGAATCACAATCACCATCACCTGAACCAGTAGTTCCTTATTCGGTTGAAAAAGATGATGATGGGACAATGAATCATGAGGAACGGACAGATGAAAATACTTCAGTTGGTCTACAACCTGTATCCGAACTGCCAAAAGATGAAGATGCTTCTAATGCTTCTACAGTAGAGAAACAAGATGTAAAACTTCCGACTATTAATATTGAAGGTATTAATTTAAAACATTAAATTATTTTTTATTTAAGAACCTTTGAAAACCTTTTATTGATTATACCATGTTAATTTAGAACCGCAGCAAAAGAAGAGCCTTACATTATATTTGCAACTTGGTAAAGGTGTCAAGAAAATCGAATATGATGGGGACATAAGTATCCCAGCAATAAGAATGTTATTCATTGAGAAGTTTCAATATAATCCTGGAATGGATGATTTTCCAAATATATATATAAAGGATCCAAGTCTAGGGATATTTTATGAATTGGAAGACCTTTCCGAGGTCAAAAATAAATCGGTGTTAGCTTTGAACCTTGAAGGTATAGAGGTTAAAAATTGATCATTGATTTTTATTGAAACTAGAGCGTTGATTAATTTGAACTTTTTTTTTTTTTTTTTAACTCATTTAGCACTCGAACAAGTTAAAAAACATTTCGATCAAAGTATAGCTAATCTAACGAAGGAGATATGTGACATTAAGAAGTCATTCTCAGAAAATACAGAACTTTTGCGTCGTGGTAATCTTGTTAATTCTGTTCCTCCAACACCGAAACCCACCGAAAGTCATTTTAAAGATTTAGCAAGAATTGTCCTTTCTAACGTAAAGAATAAAAAAGAAAAAGATGAAAAAGAAGAAGAAGCAAAGCTTAGTGAAACAAGAGATGTGCTTGTTATGAAAATTGCTAACGATCTTAGAGGACAATTTGACGAAGTTCAAAATCTTCGAAGAGACTTGGGGGTTATGCGACAATTCTATAATGGATTTCAGTCAGATACAAAAAAAATGATTGAAGACTTGATGAAACAGACAGCCACGGTTAATCAAGTTGCAATAGCCAAAGTTGGGTCAACAAGGACATTTATTGAAGCTGGTAAGGATAAATTGGAAACGCGTACAAAGAATTTAGTTACCAAAGTAGATGAATTACAGGATATTATTGATGATCTTAAAGCTGATGTTACAGCGAGGAGAAGTAAACCACGAGAAACAGAAGTTCAACGAGTCAAGGAAGAGTCGGACGCTGTTGCTAAAGAGCTTGCATCTTTGCAGGAGTATGTTAAAACTGTTAAACCAATGTGGAAGAAAACATGGGAGGAAGAATTACAAAAGATTGTTGAAGAACAACAATTTTTAATTCATCAAGAAGAGCTTATTGAGGACTTAGAAGATGATAATAAGAAATTAAAAGAAGTATTTGAACAAATCATGAAAGTCGTAGAAATACAATCTAAATCTAGACCAAGAGAATTTTTTGTCAGACCGAGAGAGGAAGGGTTCGAAGGGTTAAAATCGGTACTTCAAGAAGTTCGTGGAATTGCACCTGATCATGAGAGAAGGATAAAAGCTATGGAATTAGCGGAAAGACAAAGAGAACGCGATTTAGCCAACCGTATTGATGAATTTGAATTAGAATTAACAAACTTCGTCGCTCAAAATAAATTAAAAAAGACTGGTGGAGCTGAGGAGATAGAAAGGTTAAGACAAAAGAAAAACGAAGAAAATTTAAAACAATTATTCAAGGCAAAAGAAAATGCCACAGATGAAAAAGGCAAAGAAAATAAGGATAGTAACGAATCATAACATTAACGTATTTTATTATTATTGTATAATTTATTTTATAAAAAATTTTTTTTTTTATTTTTCATATATTATTCTGTGTCACATTTATAACGTGATTTTTTTCATATCATAATTGGAAGATAATCTTAGTGTATTAAGCATAGTAGATCTTATCATAAATTTCCTCCTTATTTCCATCATTAAAAAAAACTTATATAATCTTAAAACTACCCATTTTCTTTTTTTTCGATTTTATATTTTCGATTTTCTTTTTTGACTTATTGGTTACTACAGTGTTTACACATATGATAAAAATGTAGATTTTGGCTGTAAGTCAAAGTAGCATTATAAACGTTGCACAAATGGTTTTGAAAAGACGAATCGTGTACAGTAGCTGAGTGATTTAGAATTTCATCAATGGTAACGGAGTTATCCTCGATCGAAGTATTATAAACGTGGTTCTGAAAGTGATCAATATTTGATTGTGTGACCTGAATTGGAAAAGTAATCAAGTTATCCTCGATTGAAGAAGTCGGTCTAGCGATGAAATCGTCTATTTGCATGGTTTGCATGTTCAAGGTAGTATTGTTATAAACGTCACAGAACAAGGGCTGATCGTGAACAGTGACGTGATTTAGAAAATTATCAAAAGTAACAGAGTTATCCTCATTCGAAGAAGTCGGACTACTAGCTATGAATTCGTCAGTTCGCATGTAATCATTTTTATTTTTTCCATTATTCAAAGATTTAGGATCAAATAAACGAATTTGAATTTGAGGTGACATTTCTTTATGAAGTTTTTTAGCTTGTTTGGCAAGATCCTCGTAATAAAATTTAACATGAGCTGGTTGTTCCCTCCAAGTATCTGCAATCAAAGTAGACAAAAACTTTTGTTTTGCAATAACCTTTTTGTCTTTTTTAAGGTATTCAATACATTCTTTACGAAACAATAAGAAGGCATTGAGAGTCCGTTTTGGTATATGCGCATTTTTGAGAGAGGCTACTTTAGAGCGATGTGGTTTCGTCTTCAATATTTGCTTGAGATCCAAGTGCTCAGGCGGAAATGGCACCTCGTTTAAATCCTTTAGGATCAAGTCCCGATGCGTAACGGTTGACACGATAGAGGTCATATTTGAATTCGAATATAAATTTTTAAACGCGATGATTTTCTGATTTTTTTAACGAATTTAACTTAAGGAAAAAAAAAAAAAAAAACAAAGGTAAGATAAAATAAAACAAAGGGTTTCGATCTTTAAAACTTGAGTTATGATGGGAACGGTTATATATAAATATATAAATATTTATATAAATATTTTTTCTGTTGTCTCTATCTAGTATTTATTTTATTTTTTTTTTTTTTCTCCATTTTTCCTTCCAAGATTTGTCGAGTATTTATAAACGAAAAATCATTCCAAAAGCATATGAACCTCAATGTATTTGTTTTTCAAAGGTCATTCATTAAGTGAATCGTATCATAATAACCGAGAAAATACTTCCGTTAATTGATTTGAAAGATCGCAAGAAATAGTTAATGATTCCGAAAAAAAAAAAACTAAAAATAAAAATCAAAAAAGGTGTCATTTAATGAATTACAAGGCGATTTCTTTGGGATTCCGTGTAAGAAATCCGAAAATTTTTTTTTTCGAAACAAATTAAATGCCGCCTCAATCAATCATGACTCTTTTAAGGTGAAAAAAGTTATTGAAATACGAAACGCTTAATAGCGGCAAAGCGCGATCCGACTTTCAAAAATTTAAAATCATATGTAATTTCTTTGTTTCTTTTCCAAAGTGAGTCATGTATTAAAAATGACCTAATGCTTAAAAATTTATTTTTTTTTGACAAAAGCACTTTGATTACGAAATGATTTGGAGAATTAATTCCTCGTTCATGTCTCAAAAAATAGTTTTGGGTGAAACAAATTTTCTTATCACCACCCAAGATATGAAGATATGAAATTGTTAAAGAGTAACTGTTGAGACCTGTCGTTATTGATGATCTACTGATCTACTGATGATAACACAACTAATTTTAGTAAAATGAATAAAAAAAACCCTCACATAATAAATAAGTGAATATTTTATTAAACGATAAATAATTTTCTATACGGTTAAATCCTCGGTATGAGTTCCGATTTGTGACACGTTTCAATTCATACTTCCTTTTAAGATCCAATATGATATAATAAATAGATCACTCGTTCACTTATCACAATATTTGAAAAGAAAAAAAAAAAAAATCGAGTCCAGCACACTTCAAATCCAAATTCGGATCATTGGGCGTTCGTTCATTTCGGATTTTGCCTTTCAATAATGTTATTCGGCTTTTAAATACCCTCTCATCATTTCTACAATTTCCTTTTTTCGTTTTAAATAAGAAGTCTTGAACGGCACAAAAAATTTATGTGATATATATTTCATTTGGCACTTTCCACGATTAATTTCATTCATCTTTTTCAAATGTAATCTTTTGTTTACTCGATTGGAATTGTTTCAGAATTCTTTTTTCAGCCGCAATCAATAAACGTTATTTTTTTTTAAAACAAATTATCGAAAAACGCTAAAGACGATCGTCAAATATTAATCACGTGATACTTATTTTAAAAAACGATTTATTTATGTAGGGTATATTGATAAGTGACTAAATCCCGGGTACATTTTAAGGTTTTCCATTATATGGACCTTTGACAATAATATATATTTTTTTTTATTTGAAAAAATCAAAGTAAACTTATTTTGCCATATTTGGCATACAAAGGTAAAAATTTTTTTTTTTCCGGCAGTTTTATTGCAAGAGGTCCCGGGGTGAAAATCCTATTTGTTCATCACACGAGAGAACGTCAATAATCTGTGTGGCCAATCCCTCCTTTTCTATTGACTACCGACAAAAACATCACAATTGGACGAACACGTGACGAAACCTTCAAAAAAAAAAAAATGTTTTCAAAATTCATCAACCATCATTCCGCATCGGGGAATCGAACCCCGGCCGTCGCGGTGAAAGCGCGAAATCCTAACCACTGGACCAATGCGGATATTATGTATTGGTTGAACAACAAATTTAGTAATTCAAATTCTATACCTCCCGCATTATTTGGAATAAAAAAAAAAAAAAAATACCACCGCTGAGGGAGACAATTTCCGGAACTAGTTTTTTTCTCTTGGTAAATCTTTTTTTTTTTTGTACTAAGACAGATCTTGAAAATCCTTCATTATTATTTTATTTTTATAGTTAATTAACTTCTTATATCATCACATCGGTTAAAACGGTTAAAAAAGTTTTATTGAGAATTCATGATCTTCTTAATCAGGTTATACTTAATTAATTATTATCTTGTTTATAAAAAATCCATTACCATAATTGGGATATGAAAAAAAAATAAATAAAGTTCGAGTAATGACCGATCCTTTAAAAGTTATTTCAAACATAAATAATTTCTTCATGTCAAAATATTTACTGATTATGCAAAATGTAAAATTCAAATGAAGAGTTTCAAAAGTACACAAATAATCACACTTTCCAATAGAATACTATATGACGTAAGACGAAAATTATTTATATAAATAACCAATCTTTTTTTACCTTTTCAATAATATTCATTCATTTAATATCACAAAATGAAAATGGCGACCAATCAATCTAATCACGTGATCGAAAATTATAAATCGGAACTCGTTAAAAAAGAAGAAATAATTGAAAAATTATTTGAAGAAGTTGACGAATTAAAAGAAAATCAACAAGAACGTAATAATACCTTTAAAAAATTGGAAAAACAATTTAAATTACTACAGGTTGATTATCATAAATCATTAGATACGTGTAATAATATTACAAAAGAAAATAAAAATTATTGTGACAAGTTAGATAAAGTCAACTTATTATTAGAAAGATCCGAAACAGAAAAGAACGAGTTAAAAAAACAATTATTTGAAAGTCAAGAAAAGATACACACATTGGAAAATTATTGGAATAAAAGAGAAAGTGAATGGCGAAATCAATACGACAAATTAGTTAGCCTTTACAATGATCTAGAAACAACAATTGCGGATTGGACAGGAGAAACTGACTAAAAACGTTCAATTAACGGTTATGCAACGGTCCAAGTGCAAACACCCGTACAATATCAACCTTGTTTAGGCGTGAGCGCGATTACTGTGAATTGATAATTTTCGGGGTCTCTTTCCATAAATTTTTTGATAAGTCTAGCCGAATCCTATTAAATCATGGGACAATTTAGGTTACATATAACATATGAAATCATGAAGTTATGATTATTCTCATTATTTATTTATTTATTTTTATCTTTACTAACCTCCAATAGATTTTTACATGGGCCATGATTGATAGGAAATGGTTTTCTTCCATCCAATTCATAGATAGATCCATCCTTTTCAATAAAAGTAGCGAAATGCAAATTCACAACTTCATCTTCACTTGGCGTCTGTTAATATATAAAACAAATTAATTTATGTATGGTTACAACAACGAAAGATTTTGAAAACTCGGTAATTTAAACTTGCACTTGTTTGTCCTGACGATGCAGATGACTTGTGGGCTTCTGCCAACTCTTGGTCTTCCTCAAGAACCTTAGCACGTTCATCGGATGTTAAATTCTTTGATATATCCAACAAACGTTTTAGTGGACCCTCATCTGTCGAAAAGTCAGCAAGAGACACGTGTCATTATTAATGATAGTTTTGCGCGATTTTATAATGAAAACATACCAATTGGAATTGCGTCCGTATTACTGGCAAGTGAATGTAATAATCCAATGGTTCCGCACGCGTTAGAGATGGTTTGTTTAAAAAACATTACATTTGGGGAAACTTCCTGTCCAATTTCTTGAATTTTGTTTACTTCTTCTTTACTATCCCTTTCGTAGTTGTCAGTGATGGGAAAAAGAAGAATGACTGCTTTGACAGGTTGAGGGATCATTGACAGAATTTCACTATCAAGACCTATAAGAAATAAATTTTATTATTAAATAGATAATTCATCATTTTATTACTCGAAACAAAAGTTCGATACTTAACCAAAAACGTCGGTGTAAGCCCAATCTTGAGAAACACCCAGTTTATGAATATACTATTCAAGAGAATTCAAAAAAAATTGAGTTTAATATGCATTATAATTTGGTTATGGAGAAAATCCTGCCAGTTTTCAAATTTTTTTTTTTTTTGAACTTACGTCGCTCATAACCTAAAAAAAAAAGAACTTGAGAAAACGTCAAAAAAGAAAAGCTCACTTAAGCGGGAAAATATAATTGATTACTTGTGGATTCGATTCCAAGGGAAGCCACCTTGACTTTTTTTCGCGTTGAGTTCCCGACATGATATTTAATTCAATCAAAAAAAAATATTTTGGAAAAAAATTAAAAAATTCGTTTCATTTATACACTTTTTGATTTCTTGGCGCAGTTATTGCGTATAGATTACGTAATTTTAATTAAGAAGTCACGCGAATTAAGATAAACTCACGTGATGATTACCATTTTTGATTTCGACAAAAAATGATCGACTTCGAACATTATTGATCAGAATTTTTAGATAAATATCTATAAATCACATGATGAATGCGATCTCAAAAAGTGTAACCGAACGAGAACTTTGAAAAGAAAAAAAAAAAAACTCTCATTTAGAACACAAAACACACAACACATATGATGTCTTTCTAATTCATATATTATATCAACTACCTATTAATGAACTTTACGATATTTTCGCTTTTTTTTTTTGGTTCAAAACAAGATAAATAAAATATGCGTCCAATAATAACGGCAAGGTTAACAGCGGCACAAAAATCCAAAGTCACATTTACATTATTCTCAAGTGTTGCCCTATTTGCAATATTTACAGTTGCAGCTCCAGCTCTCTTACCTTGTCCAGCATTTGATGAAACTCAACGTAAAGCATTATTAGAACAGCGTCGTAAAGCTAAATTAATTGGAAGAAAAGAAGTTGTCATTGAACCTAGAAAGCATCTACAGAATAATAATAATATCATAAAAGTAAAGAATGTTTGTGTTGATGAGGATTAAACATTTGAATATCTGTAAAAAGTTTACAAATAATAATAATAAAAAAAAAGGTGGACTTTTTTTATAGAATACATTTTGTTATATTTTATCTGGTGGTTTATGTGATGTACTTGAAAAGAAGACAATTGGATATTTAGCATTTTGTACTGTAATTTAAGATCATAGCACTAATACGAACTTTATTATTATTATTATCATTATCATTATAATAAAAAAAAAAAAAATGAGTAAAATTCATTATTTCACAACTCTAAATTACGATTATGATTTATTTTCGTTTAAAAATATTACTACAAAGGGACTTAATTACCACCAATCCTAATAGAATTAATTCATCAAAATAGAAAATTTTCAATTCGAACCCAAAATAATTTAAAACTTGTCTCCTTTTTTTTTTTATTTATAAATTAACGTCTTTAACGCTATCATTCTCATAAGCTTCCAGCTGTCTTTTACCTCTTCTCAACATATATTCTATAGCATTATGATCTCTTGGTGATATATCATATTGACGAAATTGTGATCTAACAAATTGTTGAAATCTATATCGTGATTCCTAAAGAAAAAAAAGCATTTTGCAATCGAATTACTAAACCGAGATGAGATAAATTGTATATTAAATAAATTCATTCTTTGAAAATTGAAAGATTACGATAGGTTTTTTTCGTATAGCTCTACAACACTTTCGATAAAAATTTATTACTTCGTTCTGTAAACCTGAACGACTGATTGGTGCTGACATTTGATTTTTTTTTTTTAAAAAAAAAAAATAAAAATAAAAAATTGAAAATTGAAAATAATTATCTTTATTTTATAAAGAACCTAAAATAATCTAATCGGATCTGTCAAATGAAACGACAGAGCACTGACTCTAGGACATTGGATCATTCCAAGGGTATAATACTAAAGTTAAAACCATTTTTTTATGTACGTTACAAATGAATGTTATATTACACTCTTAATATCCTTAAACAATTGAAATCCTTTATGCTTCATTCTTTTATAAAGTAATAGCTCATTTTTGATCACTTCTTACTAATGAGTAATGTTTAAAGAAATTATGAATTATAAGTCTAACCTTAAACTTGGAATTTTTTAAACTTTATCCGGAACTACTACCGGTACCATTTTGCTGTTGTCGAGAATTTAACTCACTTTGAGTCTGAGTAAGTAGCAATTTTGCATTATGAACGTTTTGAGTAAGTTGATTAACTGTCGAATCTATCCATTGTAATGATGTTAGATGCGAATTAAGAATATTGACAACTTCATCCATCTAGAAGAATAAATTTAATTAAAAGTATTGAGCACGTTTTCATAAGCTTTTTAACATATACAATAATAATAACTAAATAAATGAACTCACCGGATCCTCTATATCTTCCTTCTCAATTATTTCATGGCTTCCGTTTATTTCATCATTATTAGAAGGTTTTATTACATTTTGATTTACATCAGTAATAATGGTGGATAAAACTTGACTCATTTCACCCAATTCTTGATTAATTTCTTCAGCCATATCATAACTATTTTCGAGGAAAAAAGGTGACGTTAAATCAGGAAATTAAATTTTGAATTTATGTAATAAATATCAGAATATAAACGAAAACAAATATTACTTTTTCTCTCTCTCTTTATCCAAAGGTCTTGTACTATCCAATACTGGTTCAGAAAATTTCACCTCATACTCCGATAACATTTTTTCAAGCTCATCCTGACGCGTTGCAATACTCTCCAGACCTGAATCTATTTCAGACTGAATCAAATCGGCTTTACTTAATTCTTCTTCTAGTTTAACTATCTGTAATGTATCAAAAAAAAATTTTTTTTTTAAGAAAATCGTGATTAAAATTATAATAAATTGGATCTTATTATTACTTACCCTTCCAGAATTCTCAATGATTTTTTGGTCCCATTCTCTTAATTCACTTGCTTGACTATGAAATTTTTTGAGAAAAATATCTAAATCTTTTTTCCATCTATTAATTATGGTTTCAATATTACTATTCTTTAACCAAGCTGATGAAGTTGACGTTGTTTCATTTGTTGCTGTAGACGGTTGCGTCGTTGCACCAATTGAGATGGATGTCCCTGTCGTAAATCCTCCTGTACCGACTGATGTTTTTAAAGTTGGTCTTAAACCAAATTGAGGTGTTGTGGATGACGATGGCGTAGGCTGAAAAAGTCCAACAGTTGTGGACTGTGGTATAATTGAAGGAGGTTTTGTTACAGGTGTAGCCGGTGTTGTTGTCGAAGCTACACACCCGACCTCATTAGTCAAATATTTCAAAAAAAAAAAAAAAATTATATACATGATTTCATTCTCACCTGAAGCTGTGAAAATTGATGGTGCGCTTGTGGTGGTTGTGCCAGCGCTGAATGCTGAAAATGGTTTAATAGTAGATGCTTGTGTAGAATTTAAACTACTTATTCTAGAAAAAAGATTCGAATTTTGACTCGGAGATGTTGAAGTTGGAAGGTTGAATCCAGTCTGTAAATTGGAAGCTGTTGTGGTAGGGCCTAAACCGCTTGGTCTATTTAAATTTCCAAAGGGAGAAGGAGGAAGAGTGGTTGTCTTTGCAGTCCCGGACCCACCCAAGAAACCACTGCCACCGCTTCCCACACTTCCCAAGCCAAAACTTGGACCTGAGGTAGATGCGGTAGTAGCCTTAATTCCTCCGAACCCTAATCCTGCCCCAGAAGTTGTTGATGCGGGTAAAGTACTGATATTATTGCTTGGCTGGAAACTTCCGAATGATGGTGATGGTTGACTTCCAAATGGTGGTTTAGATAAACCACTAAAGGATGTTTGAGAAGTAGTAGCGGCAATAAGTGGTGGTTGAGTTGAAGATGTAGTAGTAGGTGCCGGTTTATTGAAACCAGCAAATCCCGATGAAGCTGCAGTTCCTGTAGTTGATTGATGTGAGGCTCCAAAGCCAGAGAATCCCGATGGAACTGTAGTTCCTGTAGTTGATTGATTAGAGGTTCCAAAGCCAGAAAATCCCGATGAAGTTGTAGTTCCTGTAGTTGATTGATTTGAGGTTCCAAAGCCAGAAAATCCTGATGGAGCTATCGTTCCTGTAGATGATTGATTTGAGGTTCCAAAACCAGAAAATCCTGATGGAGCTGTCGTTCCTGTAGATGATTGATTTGAGGTTCCAAAGCCAGAAAATCCCGTAGATGTCGTTACTTGATTCGCAGTTCCAAACGTTCCAAATCCTGGTTTAGAATTATTAAAAGGCGATTGCGGGGTAGTTGTATTTGCAGCGCTGGTTGATGGTTGAGTTGTAGTTGTTGTTCTTGTTCCAAAACCAGCACCAAATACTGAAGGTGTTCCTAATCCAAACGTAGAAGTTGCATTTCCCCCAAACGTTGCTTGGGAAGTAGGTGCAGATGTTGTCGTTGTTGTTGTTGTTGTTGAATCATCCTTTTTTTCACCATTTGAACTAGAAGAACTAATTTGTGATCCTGTCGAGGCTCCTCCTGTTGTGGCTCCAACTGAATTAATAATCGTACCGAAAGGTGAAGGTGAGGGTTGTGTTACAGAAGACGTCGGTTTGCCAAAACCAGATGTTGTTGGAGTATTTGCAGAGGTAGGAAAAGCCGAAGAAGTATTTGAAAATAAGCCGCCAAAGGCTGCGGGACCAGAAGCGGATCGAAATTGTGTCGGAAAAGCAGTACTCGGTTGAGAACTACTTGTTGCTGTAGAAGTTAAGGCGAATCCAAACTGTCTATTGTTGCTTGCACTATTTGTGCTTGATGCAGGTTGTTCACCTTGTTTTGTGTTATTTTGTCCAAGTTGAGAAGGTTGATTTGAAGGAGGTAGAGCTTGCTTCTCTTGCTTCTCTGTATTATCTCCACCGGTTGCTGTTGACAAATTAATTGAATGACACGTCTGAAGAAAAGGTAAAACTTTGAAAAACTTTAAAAGACTTACACATTTTGCAATAATAAAAGTTTATTTAATAAATATTCTTTATTCTTTTAAAATGCAAATTTTTGCGCTATTTAAACATGAATAATTGTCACATGATCAGTCACTGGTCATTTCCAGCGCAACGCCAATCACTAATTAAAATTTTTGTACTACGTGAATTTGCCTATCTTCA